GTAAGTCTACTTAGCATCAATCACCTCATACACTCAAAAACCACTTTTTTTCTTAAGATGAGAACTTTTAGGATCTACTCTCTTAGCAACTTTGAAATATGCAATATAGTATTCCTGATTTGTATGTCTTCTAACTGAAGTTTGCACCTTCTGACTCCCATCACCCCATCACCCATACCCCATGCCCCACTCTGGCAATCCCAATCTGCTCTCTGTATCCATGAGCTTGATTTTTTGTTTGTTTGCTTTTCCTAAAGATTCTACACGTAAGTGAGATTAAATAGCATATGTCTTTCTCTGACTTATTTCACTTAACATAATGCCCTCAAGTTCAATCCACGTTGATGAAAATGGCAAGATTTGCTCGTTTTTTATGGCTGAATAATATTCCATTGTGTATATGTGTATACACGCCACATCTTTATCTGTTCATCTGTGGATGGACACTTAGGTTGCTTCCATGTCCTGGCTTTGTGAATAATGTTGCAGTGAACATGGGGAGCTTCTTTCTCATCCAGCTACAGGGGCCTTTCTCAGGTGTAACTCCCCATTCAGGCCCCAGGTCTCACTCTTCCGGGCACCCCCACTCAGTAACCAGTTTTGGCACAGAGCAGAGGCCTGGCACTGATGCTAAATGTCTACTAAGGCAGGTACTTCTGTGCTTGACAAAATGTTAAGCCCACAATGGTCAACTGCTAATCACAGAAATAAGAGTCATGACTATTTCCTCTAAGAATAAAATAAAGTGTTCCTGACAGTACACTAACAAACTTTATTTTATTGAGAATTGTATAGATCAGAAGCCTGGTAACTGTTGATTTCTGCACATACCTCCTTCTGAAATTAGATTTCCACTGTGAATTATATTCAAATAAATTGAAATTTGGCTATCTTACTTGCTACCTGATTTTAGATTTACAAAAGATCTGCAAAGATAAGGGAAAGAACTTAATGTCCCTCACCCAGATCCCCTTAAAGGTGACACCTTCCATGGCATTAGTACATCTGCTTGTAAGACACCAACACTGGGACAACACTATTCACTGAACTACAGACTTAATTCAGATCTCACCAGTTTGCCCCCAACACCCTCTACTTTCCAGGGCCCTTTAGCATGAACATTCACTATAAACAATCCTCTAGAAATCTAGATGTGAAGGAAAAAGACATGTAAAACAAAAAGGCTTCTGGGAAAGCAAAAATACTGACATAGCCTGTTTTGGGAAAAGCAAAGTATTGCTTGGTCTAGCTATTCCATAGGGCTCTTCTGGAAGAAACAGCAAGCTGATGTGAATTTCCTGTTAGTTGAAGCTTCATTTCACAGCAGTAGTTTTGAAGAAGGGACTGTCTGAACACAGCCCAATTTGTACAGCAGTTGCTGTATACTGCACAGGCATATGTTTATAGCAGTACATATCCCTCAACAATTGGATGACAATCAGTGCAATGTTGAAAGTGTAAAGGTAAAGAAATTTTGGCCTAAGGACTGGAACCAGTAATTAAGTGATTTAAGAAGCCAAATATACATAATTTGTTTTACACAGTTACACTGATTCCCTTTTTATTAGAAAGTATGTGAGAAATGAGTTCTAATAAATACATGTATGAATCATTAGATAAATCCATACCTAGCAGTAGCTGAACTTTATAATCTCTACTGCTTATATCAAAATCAGCAGCAACTGAACTCAAAAAACACAACTGCTATTTCTCAGGCTCATAAGAAATTTTCTCAAGTTCCCCAAGGTCAGTCCCTTCCCTCTGTATCCCCAGGACAGCCTCTGCACCCTGGCCCGATCACCCTGCCTTTCAATCTGCCCTCCATGCTGCTGTCAGATTTATATTCTATAATCCAAAAAGTGATTGTCCCTCCCCTGTTGTGAAATCTGCGCTGAATCCCCAGTGTACCTAATCGCCCTTATGTCAGTGTTTGAGCCCATACACAGCGACTTTTCACCCACAGGGACCTCACGTGTCCCTGAGCACAAACAGGGCTTGGCCTGCCTCTGCGGTGGAGCTCAGATGGACAGCACCAATGTCCGGACAGGGCAGCTCACAACAGTGGACTCCAAGGGATGTCCCGAAAGAAGCCTGCAGAGGACACACCCTCAGCAGGGAAGGACCCCTTCTGAGCATGGCTGCAGCGGCGCACACACACCCAAGGGAACAAGCTTCTCCAGCTTTTCAGAGTCCTACTGTCTTCATGCCTTTCTCGGTGTCCCTCTGCCGAGAAAGTGGTTCCTCCAATTCTATTCATCTGTCAAACTGCTGTTAAAGTTGTTTATTCTTTTGTTTAAACAGTGATTTATCAAACATTACTGTATGTCAGGTATTACGCCAAACAGGGTTTAGAGCAGAGAATGCAGCAGACCTCTGCCCACATGAATCTTAGAATACAGTGAGGGTAAGCAGACAAGATACAAACAGGTAAATGACTATGTAATTAAAATCTGAGAAAGTGAAATTAACAATTAAGATACTGAGCAGGGTCTTAAGATAGAAAAGAGTGTTTCCCCATCTCAGGATGGTGGGGTGAGAACAGAAAGAAGAGGGTCTTAAGCTGGGGAGCTGGGGTTGAGAAAGACTCATCGTGGGGGGCTGGGGCTGTGGGGGAGGAGTGGGCTAGTCCTCCACTGAATCTCCTTAGGCATTCCGTGTCACCTAGACTACAATGACACTGTGGCATCTGTGACCTGTACCCAGGGCTCCCTGCTGTGAGTATCAGAATCCTTTTTAAATGTAGAATAATTTCTTGGACTCCCAAATGACAGCAGTCAGACCTCTCATATAAGTGCTCACCTACATACAGCTTTAGGGAGGCTTTACAGTAGTTCTGCGGCCTCCACAACTGAGAACTGCTGATGACACTGCTAACGTGATGCAGCATTTCCGTATGGTTTCCTGCTTTTTCATTTCACATCGGGCAGTGCACTTTTCTGTCCAATGACAATGTAAACTCAGTAATGAATGGTGTCTTACACTTGTTTGAACATCTCCTCCCCCCATGCCCCCCAGCAGACTACAGATTTAAGCGGAGAAGCATCCCTTCCACTCAAGATCTTCCCATGTCTTCTTGGTGCTCATGCCAGGCCTCTCCAGGACAAACTGAGTCTCCTATCCTCCCATCCACAAGAGGATGACCAACCACACCTAATAAGCCTCCAGAACAACACAACTCTGCCATTCTCACATACCTCCATGGACCCTGGATTTTGCCTCCAACCCCTTCCACCATGACAAGCTCCACATAAAGCTCTTGGTCCTCTGACTGCCACACCAGAGCCAGTTTACTCATGTCAGTGGGCTGCAGGCCACCTGTTGGTGGCAGCAGGGTCCAACCCCCACCGTCCTGCCTTCACCATGTGGAGAGCGCTGCCGGACTGGGCTTCCCCACCATTCATCCCAGAAGTTCATTAACAGATCAGGAAACATCAATGAAAACAAAACAAAGTGGCAGCACTAGGAATACTAAGGAGTACACTTCTCTACTGCTCCAACACACCTTCTCACGTTCACAGAGCACTTTCCACTTCACAACAGACACTGTGTACCCATTTCCCTAGAGTATCAAGCAGCCACGTGAGGATGGGAGGGCCATCATGCCTCCCCATTTAGGCTGAGAAGACGGACTGGGAGAAATCAGTCCCAGCCCCAGCGGCCCTGCTCCTGACGGGATGGAGAGCAAGCAGGACTGGAGAGCTGGACACAGGACTTCTGGCAAGGGTTGCATCTGATGGACTGAACCAACACTGTGACCCAGGGACAGGCAACAAACCCGGAGCCAACTCTACAACCAACAAGAAACTCCTGTGTGGAGATGCATCTCAGATCATGCAGTAGGAGATGATCTGGTATGTCACTGCTACTAGTGATGACACGGTGCTCACTCTTCTCTTCATTATGGGTAACACCCAGTCAGTTCTTTCGACACCCACTGTTCTGAGACTTTACCTATTAACCCATTTAATCTTTGTGTGAACTCTGCGTTTTAGAAAGTGGTCTTATCCCCATTTACAGATGTGGACACTGAAAGACAGGAAGCTGCAGTAACTTGGCCAAATTCCCATGCAATTCAATTTGAAGAAGTCAGAATTCTCACCAAGGCAGTCTGGTTCAGAACCATTTTTCTTAACCATTATGCTACATTCTCTCATAACACACATCTTATCCTGCTTGGGCCTCAGGTGATGAGGGAGTCTTCCATATGGCTGTTCTGGTGTAGAACACAACCTTTGTGATAAAAAGAGCAGTAACAGCCACCTTTTATGAACTGTACTGTAACAGGTACTGTATTAATATATATATATATGTATGTACACACACACACACACATAAATCTGTTAAATAGTAACACCAACTCTACAAAATATTATTTTCTTCATTGTGGAAATAAGAAACCAGGCCCAAGAGTATGAGGCTAGTAAATGGCAGAGGTCCTCTGAGCCAGACTCTGCCTTGACCCAGTCAGGGTCCTCCCACCGCACTTGATTGTCCTGGCACGTGTTCTGGGTTGGGCGAGGAAGCGCCTTTCCCAGTGCCTGGGTGTTCTCCCTGCAGTGGGAAGTTCAGGAAGGGATAAGATGCTGCTCTTCACAAGTTAGCAGTGAGCAGGAGAGTCCCCATGGCCGCAGCATGAAGACAGGTCTTCAGAATGCACTTGCGCATTCGGCCACCACCGTGACCCCTGCGCACTCTGCCTCTTTGCCTGTGTGTCGAAACACCTGAGACTGTAAAGACCTACATGACAAGGTGTTGCGATTACTGTACATGCAACTTTCCTAGATTTGGACTTAACTAAGTATTACACACAACCAAGAAGTGGGGCTATGTTTTTTGAGAGAAAGCTATATTTTATAAAGAGCTACTTGCCATAAATATGATTAGAATAACTGTCAGCTTTTTGTATTATAAATTTTACATGTAAGTGAGAAAAACCACATACCACGAAGGAAGTATTTGTATAATGTGGTCATCTGATTATAATAAAGCAGATTAGTTACCTTGACAGAATCCAGTAAACTCCGAGGAAAAAACCGCTTCAAACCAACATCTTTTCTGAAATATAAAAAGCAGCATATTAACAAGTAACACCACTAATCAGTTAATGACACTGTTGCAAGAACATAAAGGCAGTCCGTTTACCGTCCACACATTATACAGGAAGAACTAGGTCCACGAAAGCCCCAATTTACCAGCATAGTCACAAAAGGGTAAGACAAGTCCTTTTCTAGATTTGTACAGAAAACAGCAATGCAAGTTGGCTTAAATAGTAAAAAGCCTTTCTTTTTTTAACCCTTATGATGAAAACCCTTCTAAAATATTGCCTCTTTGCAAATTACAATGTATAAACAAACTGTTCTTTTTCAAACACTGCTTGAAGATTAGCCTTACAAACATCAGGTACAACCTGGTAATAATATATTTGCAGAGAAAGTAGACTGGCCTGATTAGGGAAAGACAAAGGATATACCATGGAAGTTGAAAAAAAATCCCTTGGATTAAACATAAAAGTTGACTCTTTTTCTTAAAAGAAACTTCTTTGATTAAGGAATTCATTTATCTAATCAAGGTTTATCATCTCAGTTTCACATAGGAAACAAAAAAATAAAACAAAATCAAGTGATTTGCCAAAAGTCGAGCCTCAAAGCTCTCTGGCTGAGAAAATAGATGGGCAAGAATAGCTCATGCTTTTTTCCTGCTTACTTTGGTTCTAAGTGACCCAGGCTTGGCCACTAGATGGCAGTCTGTGCTAGTGAGACAAAACAAGGCCCCTAGACACTGAGGAAGGTCAGGAGACTGCGTGGCAAATACAAAAGGTTAAAGGAGGAGAAAAGTGAATACAGGTATCTGTTCAGAATTATAAAAGGAAATAATAAACTGAATATAAAATATCAAATAATAAATAAAACAAGGGCTTCTTCGTCTGTAACTTAGCTAGCATTATAAACAAAACCAAAGATACCCAAGTTTTTATGGTCCATCCTACATCCAAACATTTTCATCTCCTTCTCTGCAATCTGATGACTAGTTAGTGCCTAAACTAGCGACCTCCCTAAATCCAAAACTGGTCTTGGTTCTCATTCTTTTTTGTTCTGCTATTATGTTCACTACCTCCTTATACAATTCTTCCTCAGTTTCAATGACATGACTTTTCTGACTTTAACTACCACTTGAGTCACAGTACACTGGTTTTCCATTTAATTTTCTGACCACTTTTATTTGTAACCTCCCTTCCTTGTCTTTTCAGATCTGCAGCACCCACTCTGCTTTTTAGGATGTGACGAGGGAGACTGAGCACCCAAGTTCTTCCTTTTCTTGTTGCCTCCTAAGCGGCGAGGGCTTTGCATTTTAAGGGTTTTGGTGCTAATCACTATGGGAAGTACGAAAATAAACACATGAAGGAAAAACACCAGAATCTTTAAGGCATTGTCCTAAGCATTTTCTTCCCTATTTTCCTTGTAAGGCAACTATTCCATAATAAAAAGCACTTCTTTCCAAACAGAGTCCTGGACTGGCATCTTTGCTTTGCCAAAGGATGGATCTGGCTACTAACACCTGTAAGCGCCAGGTTATCTGTGTGTAAAACGGGGGTACCTACCCCTCCTGCATGCAGTGCTGCTGAGGATGAAACCGGGGTGTGTCAGGTCTCTAGAACTCTAAGGGGCAGTTTTCTTGCCTCCAGAAATTCCACAGACATCTCTCCTGTCTGGTGCGAGTTTGGTCCACCTGCCTGATGACCTATTGTTTTGAGCAGATTCTGCCATAGCACAATATACTGGAGGGCAGGGGGAGGGAGGGCGGGGTGGGGGAGGAGAGGAGGATACAAGCTGGAAGAGCAGGTGACCCAGGGAACAGACAGTGGGAGGGTGGGCAGCAGAGGCAGTGAGAAGTGGAGAGAGGCGATGTTTCAGACACAGAGCCCACAGTGCTGAACGGTGGGACACGTGAGAGAGACAGAATGAAGATGGCGAGGAAACACTGACACCATGTCCTGAGACAGGAGGGTATGGGTGCCAGTCCTGCCTCAGACATGTTGGGCTGGAACCATGCATAGGCAACCTCTTAGTGGGGATTTCAAGGAGGCGGCTGGTCACAGAAGTCTTTGGATGAAGGGAAAGACCAGGGCAGGGCATGTCCTTTTCCCAACTGTGAATTGTCCACTGCCATTAGTCAGCCAGTTATACAACTGTTTTTCTTAGAGTCAAGTGGAAAGTGAAGAATTTATCATACTCATTTCTGTCAAAGATGGGAAAATTAAAGATGGGCCAAGAGTGTGTATGTATCAAGAAAAATGAGACAGAACATATTTCTTTGTGAAAACAAAGTCTATTACTAGCTGTTACTTTTACTTTCAAGGTGAAGACAACTACATCTGGGAAAAAAAGCTGAGGCCAACTAATGCTTAGCAAGTAGGCAACTTAGTTTTTTCCTACTAAATTAAATTCCAATTTAATTTTAGTTTTTACTTAAAAGTAATACTTTTAAGTAATATGAATTTGTAACATTTGTCTATACATTAGAACTCTTTTAAATGGGGCATCTGACAAGTGAGAAAATAAAAATGAGGCCAAAATATCTTACTACGCTGATGGACAGTGATTGAGGTGGGGTGTGTGTGTGGGAACTCGATAATAGGGGTGAATGTAGTAACTACATGTTGCTCACGTGAAATCTTCGTAAGATTATCAATGATACCTTAAAAAAAAAAAAGAGGCCAAAGCACACAAAATCACTGGAAAAATCCAACTATGACACCCTTGCACATTTTGTTAATCTCATCAAGAAGCCAGTCGACTCCAGGCTTCATGGTGGAGGATGCTGAGAAACTCTGGGGAGCACTTAAGGTGGGATATTCAAAGTTTCAGGGAACGCCTATTATCCGAATTTAAATCCTCTTAGGAAACCAGGCAGGGACATGCAGCCTGTCCCATTTTTAATATGAGACAGCCTCTTTCCAAGCTGCATACCCAGCACTGGATTACAATAAGTACGCTTACCTGTAGTAGTTCAGCTTTAAGCTTTACGTGACATAAAACTCATTTGAGCCCGAACTCCACAACTGTCAGATAATGTGAATAAGCCAATAAATACTACTTATGCTTCATAAACAAAATACAACTACTGGCCTTTATTATAAAGTAATTCTTTACTATATAAAAAATTGTCAAAGGGTATCCGAAATGCACGTAGACTGATTTGACAAAAAAAAACGGCTTACACGAAACTTTTAGAATATTGCCAAACCCTAATTTCTACAAGCATTAGGTCGTTAGACTCGCATATGGGTTCCCAGGAAGCTTTTTAATCCATGCACAGCTAACAAGGTATTGCTATTAGGTGAGAGCTGTGTCGCCCACTCCATAGCCACAAGAAGCTATTTACACTCAAGTTAGTTAAATTAAAAATCTAGCTCCCAGTTGCATTAGTTACATTTCAAGTGCTCAGGAGCCTGCCTCATGGGGCTAATAATGGCTACCATACTGGCTGGGACAGACGGGGCATTTCCACCATCACAGAAAGCTGTAATGTCAGCGCTGGGTTAGAACAATGAACCTAGGCATCCACCCTGACTCTCTAGAGCTCTTCAGTAAGGGCAGGGTGGGTGAAATGCAGGGAGGCTGGGTCCCGCTTGCACAGCGCAAGCACACAGTGTTCCCATGGGCTGCTCATGAGGCCGGGGGAAGAAGCCGGGGTGGCACGGAGGGCATCCTGCCACAAAGACACAGCGGGTCTTACAGGGGGCAGCTGTGAGTTGTTCGACAACCCAACCCTTCGGCTGGGGCTGCCTGTCCATGTGCTGCAGTTACTAGTTCTTACTTTTCTCTTAGCAGCAAAAGGGTTTGTTACCTAGACTCTGAGATTCAAATTAGTTTGCTTTAAGTTTCAAAGAAAGCAAGACTGTACTCATTTACTCACTCATATGAGGCCCCACATTAGATAATGGGGCAGAGAAACCATTCCAACACATTCCCTCTTCTCAAGTGAGAACACAGCATCTCAAGTACCTGTACAGGGCGCGAGGGGTGCCTCAGGTACCAGCAGAGGAGTGCAAGGGGTGCCCCAGGTACCGGCACAGGGCGCGAGGGGTGCCCCAGGTACCGGCACAGGGCACGAGGGGTGCCCCAGGTACCGGCACAGGGCGCAAGAGGTGCCTCAGATAACAAGACTTCAAATATTGAGATTAGGGTTTCTGGGGCTTAATACTTGTATTGGTGATTAATTTTAAGCCAGATTTTTCTTAACTGATGTTTAACCATGTCCTTCAAAGGAAACGGTCTCACCCTGTTTGGTCGGACTGATGAGGCCGCTCGCCCCTCCCACCACACACAACAGCGACTGGCGCGGGTGAACTCGGGGCGTGCAGATATCGCCTCGATGCGCCCAGCCTGCGGCCTTGTCCGGCCCGGGGTATCATGTCCACAAACCCACGCACAATGGGCCTGGGAGGCCTGAGGGGGGAACTGGCTTTACTTACACATTAAAAAGCAATTAAGCTTACTGTAAGTGAATTCTTGCAACAAGGATAAATTTACTTCTCCTTTGGCACTACTTCTGAGAAGACCTGATTTTATCTGTTAACTTTTTTTAATACTTTGTGGACATGTTTCTTCCAAGGTTTAAAGGCAAAAAGCAACCAAAATCGACTCCAAAATATAACTAAAACGTGCATTTTCATATAGTATCTATCTTATCCTTGCCTCCAAACTCTGAGAATTGAGTATTAATTTAAAAGTACGAAGGTACTTTAACTTCTAAAATGATATCTTAAGCCTCTTAAAAACTGGAAAGTACTCAAGTTCTCTCCCTACAGTAGAGACTGCTCTCTGTTTCATCCTGCTGTTCTTTTTCTTCCCAGGTATACACTGCATTCCTCCCTGCTGCTGGCCAGGTGGGGCCACTTGGCTATGAATCAGCCATGTTCCTCTAAGAGAAAAGTAATATAATACAATGTGTCCTTGAAGTGGGGACAGGGTCGGAGCGAATGTCCACCTCTTTCTCGTCCTTGGGTCTGGAATACAAATGTGGCAGGTAAGGCCCACCAGCCGTGCTAGGCC